CAGTCGTTCCAGCTGACTGGCCTAGGTAAATTCCTCTAATTGACCTACCAACAGTAATCAAGGCTCAACTACAAGAGGAGGGTGTACTTAGCCCACACTGAGGGCAAACTTCAAGTACCCAGCTTGGGTGATAGGGGAGATTGTGCCACTGGACTCTCCAGGACACCTACTACATTAGGCTCTGCTACCTAGAGATGGAGTCATAACAGCTCTACCTAGTACACAGAAAAAAAACACAGTGAGGTGACAAAATAAAAAGACAAAGAAACGACTCAAGTGAAAGAATAGATTAAAACTCCAGAAAAAGAGCTAAACAAAATGGAGACAGCAATCTATCAGATGCAGAGTTCAAAACACTGTTTATAAGGATGCTCAAGGAACTTAGTGAGGACCTCAACAGCATATAAAAAGATCAAGTCAAAAATGAAGGATACACTAATTAAAATTAAGAAAAATTTAGAGGGAAACAACAGTAGAATGGATGAAGCCAAGAATCGAATCAATGATTTGGAATATAAGGAAGCAAAAAACAATCAGAACAAAAAGAAGAAAAAGTAATTTAAAAAAATGAGGATAGTGTAAGCAGCCTCTGGGACAACTTCAAAAGGTCCAACATTAGCATCATAGGGGTGCCAGAATGAGAAGAGAAAGAGCAAGAAATTAGAAATCAATCTGAAAAAATAATGAAAGAAAACTTCCCTATTTTGGTGAAGGAACTGGATATGCAAGTCCAGGAAGCACAGAGGGTCTCAAACAAGGTGGATGTAAAGAGGCCTACTCCAAGACACATCATAATTAAAATGTTAAAGGTTAAAGATAAAGAATCTTAAAAGCAGCAAGAGAAAAGCAAATGGTTACCTACAGGGGAATTCCCATAAGACTTTCAGCTGATTTCTCAAAGGAAATTTTGCGGGTCAGATGGAATTGGCAGGAAATATTCAGTCATTGGACCTACAGCCTCAAAGGCAGGGACCTACAACCAAGATTGCTCTACCTAGAACAGATATTTAGACTCAAAGGGCCAACAAAGAGCTTCCCAGATGAGAAAAAACTAAAGGAGTTCATCATCACCAAGCCATTATTATAGGAAATGTTAAAGGAACTTATTTAAGAAAAAGAAGATCAAAACTATGAACAGTAAAATGGTGATAAATACATATCTATCAACAATTGAATCTAAAAACAAACTAAGCAAACAAGAAGAACAGAGACAGAATCATGGATACAGAGACTGTTTTGGTGGCCAGATGGGAGGGAGGTGTGGGAATTAAGAAGTACAAATTGGTAGTTACAGAGTAACCATATGGATATAAAGTACCATTTAGGAAATAGAGTAAACAAAGAACCTATGCATGGACATGAACAATGGTGTGGGGATTGCCTGAGGGAGTGGGGGTTGCTGGGTGGAGGGGAAGAAAGGGGGAAAAGTTGGGACAACTCTAATAGCATAATCAATAAAACATAATTAAAATATAACCACAAAACAGAAACAACTGATAGTAACACAAAAGAAAAGAACCAATAGAAGCACAAACCTACCAGAAAACAAAGGATATAATGCCTATGGCGAATCTTCATACATCAATAATTACCTTAAATGTAAATGGACCAAATTAACCAATAAAGAGGTACATAGTAGCCGACTGGATCACAAAAAAAACAACCATATGAGCCTTCAAGAGACACATCTAAGCTGACATGATTCTGAACATAGGAAGCTTAAAGACAGCACCAAAAAAACTATTAGAAACAATAAGCAATTACAGTAAAGTTGCAGGATACAAAATCAAAGTACAAAAATCCACTGCTTCCCTGTACACTAATAATAAAACTTGAGAAAAGGAAATAAAAAAAAATTCCTTTTTTTTTTGCAATTGCAACCAAGAAAAAATACCTAGGAATAAACTTAACAAAGGATATGATAGACCTATACATTAAAAACTACAAAGCATTATTAAAAGAGATTGGAAAAGACACAGCAAAACAGAAAGATACTCTGTGTTCACGGATTGGAAGAACATAGTTAAAATGGCCTTATTACCCAAAGCATTATACAAAATTAATGCAATCCCAATTAAAATTCTAATGTCATTTTTAAAAGAAATAGAACAAAAAAATCATCACATTTTATGGAATCACAAAAGACCTCAAATAGCCAAAGCAATTCTGAGAGAAAAAAAACAAAGCTGGAGGTGTCACACCAGCTGACTTCAGATTATACTACAGAGCTACAATAATCAAAGCAGCATGCCGTTGGCAGAAAAACAAACACAGAGATCAAATGGAACAGAGTTGAAAGCCCAGATATAAAGCCACATGTATATGGACAGATAATTTTCAACAAAGGAACCAAAATACACAATGGAGAAAAGAAAATCTCTCCAATAAATGGTCCTGGGAAATTTGCAAAGCCACATGCAAAAAATGATTACAGTTTGTCCTTATGCACAAAAATTAATTCAGAGTGCATCAAAGACCTAAATACAAGATCTGAAGCAATAAATTACATAAAAGAAAACATAGGTAACTAAACTTATGGATCTTGGTCATAGAGAACATTTTATGAATTTGACCCCAAAGGCAAGAGAAATAAAGGCATAAATAAATGAGTGTGACTATATCAAACTAAAAAAGCTTCTACATAGCAAAAGAAACCAACAACAAAACAAAGAGGCAGCTGACTGAATGGAAGATGGTATTTGCAAACAACAGCTCCAACAAAAGTTTAATATCCAAAGTATAAAATAGCTTATACAACTCAACAACAAAAAAAATCCAGTTTAAAAATGGGCACAAGACCTGAACAAACACCTGTCCCAAGAAGATATACACTCAGCCAACAGATATATGAAAAGATGTTCAGCCTCACTAGCTAGTAGGAAAATGCAAATCAAAGCTCCTATGAGATACCACCTCACACCTGTTAGAATGTCTATAATCAACAAGATAAGTAGTAAGTGTTGGAGAGGTTGTGGAGCAAAGGAGACCCTCATTCACTGGTGGTGGGGATGTAGACTGCAATAGCCCCTGTGGAAAAGTCTGGCGGTTCCTCGAAAATTAAGAAGAGAGTTACCATATGACCCAGCAATCCCTCTCCTGGGTATCTACTCAAAAGCATGTATTCACAAAGATATATGCACCCCTATGTTAACCGCAGCATTATGCACAGTAGCCAAGACATGGAAACAACCAAAGTGTCTTCAGACAGAGGACTGGATAATGAACAAGTGGTACACATACACTGGAATGTTGCTCAGCCATAAGAAAAGACAAAATACTGCCAGTTGTGACAACGTGGATGGACCTTGAGAATACTATGCTGAGAAAAATAAGTCAGAAAAAGCTAAGAACCATATGATTTCACTCATATGTGGGACATAAAACTGAAAATTGCAGGCACAGACACCAATGCGATGGTTGTTAGAAGGAAGGAGGTAGGGAGTGGAGGGGCCAGAGGTGTGGTGATGGAAGATGGTTAGACTGTAGGTGGTGGGCACACAGTGCAAAATACAGATCCAGTATCATAGAAATGTACACTTGAAACTTACATTATCTTACTAACCAATGTCACCCTAATAAATACAAGAAAAAATCTTAAATAAAATAAATAACCTCAGGAAATAAAAAACACAGTAATAATTCTTTGCATAATTTATTACTTATGCACCCAAATAAACATCTTCTTAACCAGTCACCCTAATAAATATATGAAAAAAAATTAAAATAAAAAATATAACCTCAGGAATAAAAACACAGTATTAATTCTTAGTATAAGAGTGCTTAGAGGCCCTGGCTGGCGTAGCTCAGTGGATTGAGCGCGGGCCTGCGAACCAGAGTATCGCGGTTCGATTCCCAGTCAGGGCACATGCCTGGGTTGCAGGCCAGTTCCCGGCAGGGGACGCATGAAAGGCAACCACACATTGATGTTTCTCTCCCACTCTTTCTCCTTCCCTTCCCCTCTCTCGAAAAATAAATAAAGAAAATATTTAAAAAAAAAAAAAGAGTGCTTAGGAAAAAGTTATTTCTTCAAAAAGTACAGAAGCATTTACTAGAGAAAAATGCACAGAAGTTTAATCACATACAACCAAGGATAATTGAAATCATTGAGAGATTATGTTCAGCCACAAGTAACTGCAAACATCCAGAAACTGCACGAAATGGAGAAAAGGACCGAGTCTCACATGGAAGGACTGGCTCATAGAAGTCACTGCACAGTGTGGTAGAAGAACAAACTGTTTCGTAGCCCTTCGCACTGCGCCACTGTAGATGTCGTAGTGGAGTCAGAACTACAGTCAACAGTGGTATTGACAGAACAAAGTGATCACTTGTCAAAGTAGAGCTCACATTAATACAACCTAGAAAAGAGAGGTGTACCCTTCAGATAACAGTCTCAGCCAAGACAGTCAACATTTGTAGCCTGGTGGGCTCAAATGGGCTTGCAGGAAAATCCAACCTATGCTGCATCTTTAATGTTGAATTCTGAACAACTGTAAAGCTTACTCCTGAGAACAAATGGAAGCCAGGCAGTCTGGTGGTGGATTAGAGGATATTCTTGTTGGCAGGGCAAAGACGGAGGGAAACCAACACACACAAAAGCTCCAAGCTTCTGCCTGCCTCCTTTCATACAAGTGGCTTCAAAGCCAGTCTAATCCTATTTCACTCCTGCATTCAAGTTTCATGTAGGTGAGGCCTTGCTGATTTCTAACATGCAAACATGAAGGCAACAGACTGTAGACAATGTAGTTCATAACATTACACATGTCATATAACAGAGTCAGGAAGTGTCACCTCCAAGCCTGGATCTTACTTTCCTGTCACAGGTATTTGCTTCTAAACACAGGCTTCCTAGTCCAAATCCCAGCCAGAAGCAACAACTAAGAGCAAGGGACAGTGGATGAAAATACTTCACACGGGACTACAGTCTGTAACATTACAAACTTGGCACACTTACAAACATGTGGCAAATATTTATTGAATAAAATACTGAATGTCAACTGTCATTGAAAAATTAAAAAACATTTATTGACAAGAAAATGAAAGAAAGCTCTTCGAGCCAAAGAAAAGGCACTTTTCTGTTGAGGTAGAATATATATATGGGTAAGGCATATTCATTCGATACTTGCTATAGGAAGCCACATGGAAAACATGAACAAATTCCAAAGTATCAGTTTTTAAATGTTCCTTGATTTGCAGAACACTTAAAAATCACAGAAAAATTAAGCCCACTTAGCAAAACACTAAGTATTATTTTAAAATATTAGTAAAACATATTAGTAAAACACTTCAATTCCCCCAAGGATCTAACAAACTTCAATAAAGAAATACAAAATGTTTACTAACTGACCAGAAGGGAAAAAATACCTATTGAACTTAAAACCTCTTGCTTACAGAATAGCTACAGAATTAATTACCTCAGTGCATATTTGCAAAATAAGTGGACTCAGTACTACAGAAAATCACTGTAAGAACGAGTCAGTCATAGTGACCATGTATGTCTAACATTTATAGTATTTCTTCCATGCTGTGAATTTTGGGGAGTATGTGAATTAATTTGCACCAGGCTTACATGTAGTAGTTGCTGTAATGTGATTTCCTCCCAGGGCAGTTTTCGAGCTGCTCTGAAGGTATTCATTAAAACTTTGTCTTCATTTTCAGTCATACAGTATCTATCCAGTGTACATTCTCACATGGTATGGTGGGGATGTGAGGCAAAATGAGGGGTTTCCTACAGTGTTTACATTCAACAGAATTCTCTCTACATGAAGTTTTTGTCACGGCTTTCCAAGGAGCTGGGACAGCTGAAGGTTCTCCCGTGCTCTTTACGTGGACACGATGGCTCTGCAGCGCACACTCTTACGTCTCTGTGAAAGGCTCCCCCCATTCCTTACATGCATACGCTTTCTCTTAGGTGTGAGTTCTTTCATGATTTTCTCAAGAACTGGGACGATGGAAGCTTTTCTACAGTCTTTACACTGAGAGCCCTTTCATTCTCTATACTCAACTGGAAGACATAATGCTTCCTAACAGTCCTTCATTTACAGGTCCATCTCCAATTCGCTCTATCACATGTGAGTGCAGAGCTGAGCAACAAATGCAGGTTCTCCCACATTCTTTGCATTAACAGGGTTCATCTCTACAACGTGTTCTCACATGTTTACGGTAACTACTTGGGTAACCAAAGGCTTTACCACATTTTACACATTTGTAGGGCTTTTCTCCACTGTGTATTTTTTCATGTAATCGACAGTAACTGGGACTCCTGAAGGCTTTCCCACACTGTTTACAGCAATAGGGTTTCTCCTCGGTATGAGTTTTTTCATGAATTCTAAGAAAAGTGGAATAAAGGAAAGCTTTACCACATTCCTTACATTCATGAGGCCTCTTTCCATCGTGAATTTTTTTATGTCTACTGAGATATATAAGTAAACTGAAGGCTTTACCACATTCTGTGCATTTGTAGGGCTTTTCTCCACTGTGTGTTTTTTCATGTATTTGACAGTAGCTGAGACTCCTAAAGGCTTTCCCACATTGCTTACATTCAAAGGGTCTCTCTGCAATATGGGTTTTTTCATGATTTCTAAGTAAATTGGGATAACGGAAACCTTTAGCACATTCCTTACATTTATAAGGCTTCTTCCCATCATGAGATCTTTTATGTTTTATAAGATAACTGAGTAAACTGAAGGCTTTACCACATTCCTTACAATAATAGGGCTCTTCTCCCCTGTGTGTCATTTCATGACTTTCAAAGTTTCTTAGACAACTGAAATCTTTCCCACACTCCTTACATTTAAAGGGGCCACACCTAACATGCTTGATCATATGTCTTTTATATGTGGTAAGTGTACTCCAGGCTTTGTCACACCTCTTACACTCATAGGGTTTCTCTCGAGTATGAATTTCTGCATGTCTGTGTAAGTTACTTGAATACCTGTAGGCTTTACCACATTTTGTACATTCGTAGGGCTTTTCTGCACTGTGTTTCTTTTCATGCACTCGAACATATCTGCGACGTTTGAAAGCTTTCCCACACTCCTTACATTTATAAGGCTCCTCTTCATATTCCCGACACTGGTATAGTTTGAGTCCAGTGAGCGATCTTGTGTGGCTAGTAAAAAATGAATAATTCATGAAGACCTGTCTATACAACCTGGATTTAGGTAATTTTATTTCAGTAACAGTTTTCTTCTTTTCATTGTAATTTAGAATCTGGCTCAAGGTTTCTCTACATTGACTACCTTCTTTCTTTTTATAGAGTCTCTCTATCATATGATAGCCATAAAAATAAAAACATTATTAATACTTTTTATTAATGATTTTTATATTTATTAATAGTATGGCATTTTTACCATTTCAAGAAAAGTGTAGGGTTTCTACATATACTTACTGTTTGAAGTGGCTGTACTAATCGCTCTGAAATTGAGCTTGATCATAGAGATTATAAAAACAGTAATATTCACTAATGCTGTTTCTGTGTACTGTTCCCAAGTGTACTTATTTATTTTTTATACACTAAACATCTAGGTCATATTTGAGAAAAAAATTTTGATGAAAGTATTCTAAGAATCAATAAATTGGAAGCTGGGCTGGTATGATTCCTTTGCCTCTTTCCTAAATTTGGTGACATATTACGATTCTCTCAGGGGACACTTCTTTCTCACGTCAGGGGGACTCACCTGGGATTTGTCCCACGTTTCTCATACTGATCTTCACTGTCATGGTCTTCCCATTTTTCTTCCAAAACACATGCTAGAAAAAACATTATAAATTATTAAAGAATATGAAAAATGGCTAGATTTTAGGGCCACAATGAGCTGTGATCATGACTATTTTAGTTATCTCTGTACTTTCTTTCCACATTTCACTCTTGAAACAGCACTGATGAACAAGCCACACTAGTTTTCTAACCGACTGAAACAGTAAGTAAGAAGCTGTCGTCACTACCTACGGAAGCCAGGTTCCTGATGGTTTCCTGCATCACGTCTCTGTACAGTTTCTTCTGGGTCGGATTCAGGATAGCCCACTCCTCCATGGTGAACTTCATGTTAACATCCTCCAAGGCCACGGAGTCCTAGAACATTCCACACATGTATATACAGGAGGGTGGGTGAGACAGACGGCACTGGGGATCTACACACAAATCATATGAAGTTCGCACATGACACGGGGTCCCCAACATTTATTCTATGACTTGGTTGTCACACTAGTACTTATTAGCTACAACTCACTTTCTCAGGATACACATTTAATTTTTGTTACATTTTGTTACATTTTTATTGTAATCACTTCAAATCTTCACTGCTCTCCAATGTCAGGGCACAGAGTTCTTTAAAGAAATTCTATCCAGATAAAAAATATTCCCAGTTTAAGCACATCAATTCCTTGTGATGAAACTCTCATCTCCTTTAACTCCACGTGATGCAGCACTACATGAAGCACATTGTCACATCTGCATAAAGTTTTAATGAATATGAACAAAATAAAGACCTGGAAGCTTTTTCATCTATGCTTATCACCAAACATGACAGACCAGGAGGTCTGTGGAAATTCCACTGGTAACAAAATGCAGCTGGCCGTACGGTCCTGAAGTACTCCGGACCAATCGAAGTAGTCATATCCACTTGGCCAAGTGAAAATATTGCTGTGGAGGAGTATAAATTATAATATGTTCATATAATATTTATTACTGACTCCATTTGACCTTCTTTTGTCTGTCTCACTTCATGGAGCTAAGAAGTTACCAGTGTTAAGAGCTCAGGAATTAGAAGGAAGGGCAATTTAGACCTCTGCAAAATTCCTGTGTTTGAGAGCCTCAGGGTCACTTCATACCAGTTTTTCGGACACAAAGACATATGCACTAAAATGATAAGATCACATAAAGTAAGTTTTTCTGGCAGCATTGTAACACGGGCGACATTGAAAAAGGGTTGGGCTCGGAAACCCACAATACTTAACATTGAATTGGCACATGACCACTAAATACACAAGGTGCTGGGAAGTACTGGAAATATCAGAGGAAGCACTCTGTAAAGTTTTGTCTAACCAGTGAGTTCTACACCTGAAACTTAATACAAAAATAATATTTAATGTATGAATAGAAAGAGTTAATGACATTAAATATAAATACCATTCAAAGCAATAAGAGACTCAACAAATATCCTATCAAGATATCAATGGCATATTCACTGAACTAGAAAAAATGTTCAAAAAATTTATACGGAACCACAAAAGTCACCAAATAGCCACAGCAATCTTGAGAAAAAAGAATGACATTTACAGGTTTGTATATTTATTATACTATACGTTTTATCTTTATTTTAAAGCATACTCTTTCTACGTAAAAAGTAGGGGGGGGGAGTTACCCAGTCAAGATTTTCTGCAATAACCCTCCCCATGGTCACCGCACCAAGTGGGGAGACGCTGCAATGCGTGTGCAGAGCTGTCCAGAGACGCTCGAGGGGCCGAAGACGCTGTGAACAGGGACAGACCTGACGCCCGGAGTCCCGGCTGCCGGCCCAGCACCCACACTGCGAACCTTGAGGGGACTGAAGTTTGAGCCCAGTCCCCCAGGGCCTTGGATCCGCAGACCCCGGATCCGCCGTGGAAAGACTGTCCAGCCAGGGCGAATCGCCCCTCCTGGCATCAGCACCCGTCCGCACACTCACCATTTCTAGGTTTTCTGAGTCTCCGTGAGTCCTTCCTACAATTGTCACAACCAGTACAGATCACAATTCCACCGATGAGCACAGAACGTGGGGTTCCGAGCGCAAGAGAGAAGCAATCCAGAGGCAGTACGGAAGGAGCAGGACTTCCGGGTGGCTTCGGAGCGTAGTCCCGCCCACCTGCCCCACCCCTTCCGAACTGATGGGCGGTTCCCAAGGCAACGCTCTCAGTGCCTCAATTACAGTCCCCGAAGCCCAAAACAGCCAGAACTCATCCCGTGCGGGGACATTTGCACTGAAAACTTAGTGCTGAAAGTCCACCAGGCAACTGTGATCCTTCCTTGCAAACACAGATACTACTGCATGCAATAGTTAATATGGCTCTATTTCAATCTTTGTTGGCATTTAGGGTCTGACGTGTGGTTTTGCCAAAAAGGTGCAAGGCTCAGATACCAGGAATACAATCCATGGGGATCCTTCCAGAACGTTAGTCAGATTCCGGAAAATTTCCTTGAAACCAAGAAGAAGCCATCATTTGGGGGCGAGGGATGACTTTGGGTATTTACAAAGTGTTTCTAACATGAAAAAATTTCCTAAGCCATTGAGAAAACAAGCAGGTGGATATGTTGTCTCAATGGTGGTTCAGGCACTCTCCTAGGTCCTGAGCCACCTCTTATTTGTAGTTACACTATTTAATCCCTAAATAATGACACTTACCAGAAAGGGTTTCTTCTAAACAATAATCCCCAATTGGTGAGTTGGTGATGCTAGCATATTGTTTACTCTCACAAGGATAGCTTCCCCCCCTGCCTGGCACCCTCTCCTTATAGTAGGCACAGATACTTTCCGACCATTTCCTCTCCATTCCCTGAGAAATGCTCGTCTTTAGTAGTCTTAGAGACAAACAGCCCCACACAAGTCCACCCAAACTGCAGCAATAACTCATCATGCCTGGAGGCCATCAGACTCATGGAGTCCGAGGGGCAGAGCCAAAGAGCCACAGGTGATCTCAGTGGAGAGAGACGAGGCTCAGGTTGCAACCAGGACTCCTCACACAAGGTGGGCCATGGTGGGAGCAGCAGCATCCCTGTGTGTCACCCTACAGGGTGGGAAGGGAAGTCTGTGGCTAGTCAACATAAAGAATTGAGAAACGGGGAAGAGATTTCTGTTTCACACTCATTTTTTCATCCTCCTTTTAACAGCTATCTGGAACAAAATCCTCAAAGCAGTTTTACTGGAAATTAGTCTGATTTTCTAATGTCGAAAATACCTCTGATTTTTTTGTTTTGCTTTGTTTTATCTCCTAACTCTTCATCTTCGCTTCAAACAAAGGACCTTCTGTACTAATAATGTGTGTTCACTGGGGAAGTTGCATAAGGCTGGTCTCCTCTCTCACACTGTTGAACTTCAGACACATGATGCTGAGGAAATCACCTTTCATCCCTGCCCTTCCACAGCCCACTTCATTTGCAGCTGTGGGAACTGAACAGTCCAGCAGCAGCCCTCCCTGGGCAGAAAATGCTGATGTGCTTCCTGCACTGGTGGCCGTGGTTGCTCTGCTTGTCAAAGGTTCTTTAGCAACGTTGGAAATCTTGCTTTCCCACAGTGTCCTCACTTTGGCTCAAATAAACGCTTATAAAAATTCTCAAAAAAAAAAGCCCTTTAGTCACTATGGTCATCACTGTAGACATGACATCTTAAAATTGTGTTTGGTAAGAGGAGGTGGTTCCTGTGATTCTCATCATGGGAATACAAGGGCCAGAATACACTTCGAGTGTTGGTGCATCCACCCACTCCACAGAAACCCGTGAGGATTCAAGACATCTGCGAGGTGGTCCTCTCAGGCAAAGTGCTCCACCGAAGGAGCTCAGGGAGTCCTTTGAATGCATGGAGAGGGAGACTTTTTCATCATGATCTTGGGAAGTGACTGTAATGGAATAAATTACCCAAAGTTCTGGAAGGTGCTCTTGGCTCTGAAAAAGAATAGGAAATTGATCCTTTCTGTGGTTGAAAGCATAAAGTAAGTGGCAAAGCATCAAGATTCATGTTTGTACTTAAAAATACGTTTTTGGCATGGTCTGCTAAAATATTAGCATAACGTTTGAAGTAATAGTGGGAGAAAGAACCAACCAAATTGTTCTATCTTGTGGGGAAGGCATGAATTAACACAAATAATCATCTCAGCCTTCATGTTAAAAATTTGGAAGTATGGGACTTCTGCCAAGATGGAGGCGTAGATGGAAGCACTGTACCTTCTCACACAACCAACTTTAAAAACAATAAAGTTTTAGCAACAAAAATGCAACCAAACCACACAAAATTGAACTACACGGAAGTCTGACAACAATAAACCCTTCAGCCAAACCGGTAAGAGGAGCAGAGCCAGCAGCAGAGTGGGGTCAGGCAGGAAAGATCCACCGAACCAACCTGGGCACCAACCCAGGTGCGCCAACAGCCGTGGGCGGATCCCAGGTGTGGAGAAGTCGGCAGACCCACTGCGAGCGCAGATAAACCGGTGAAGGAGCTAGCTGTGGTGAGACTTACCTCACAGGCCCCAGCAGCGGGAAGCAGCAGGGGGGACCACCATTGTCCCTCTCTGACCCCACCCCCACATATGGCATCACAAACCAGCGACCTGGGTGGCCCCGCCCTGGTGAACACCTAAGGCTCTGCTCCTCATATGTAACAGGCACAAACAGATCAAAACATGGCTCAAGAACAACTCAGAGTCCCAGAGCCAATAAATCTAAGCGATGAAGAAATAGCCAGTCTTTCAGATGCACAGTTCAAAACACTGGTGATCAGGATGCTCACAGAACTGGTTGATTTTAGTCACAAATTAGAGGAACATATGAAGGCTAAACTAATTGAAATGAGTGGCAATGAACAGGAAACCAATAGTAATGGAAAGGAAACTAGGACTCAAATCAAAGGAGTGGACCAGAAGGAGGATATAAATGACCAAACAGAAAAGGATGAAGAAACAAGAATTCAAAAAAATGAGGAGAAGCTTAGGAACCTTCAGAACATCTTTAAACATTCCAACATCCAAATTATAGGGGTACCAGAAGGGGAACAGAAACAGCAACAAGTGGAAAACTTATTTGAACAAATAATAAAGAAGAACTTCCCCAATCTGGCAAAGGAAATAGACTTCCAGGAAATCCAGGAAGCTCAGAGAGTCCCAGAGAAGTTGGACCCAAGAAGAAACACACCAAGGCACATCATCATTACATTAGCCAAGATTAAAATGAAGGAGAGAGTCCTAGAACCAGCAAGAGATAAGGGGATAGTCACCTACAAAGGAGTTCCCATCAGACTGTCAGCAGATTTCTCAAAAGAGACCTTACAGTCAAGAAGGGGCTGGAAAGAGGTATTCCAAGTCATGAAATCCAAAGACCTACAACCAAGATTACTCTATCCAGCAAAGCTTTCATTTAGAATGGAAGGGCAGATAAAGTGCTTCTCAGATAAGATCAAATTCAAGGAGTTCATCATCACCAAGCCCTTATTATATGAAATGTTAAAGGGACTTACCTAAGAAAAAGAAGATAAAAAAATATGAACAGTGAAAGGACAGCAAACTCACAGCTATTAACAACCACACCTAAAACAAAAGCAAACTAAGAGGACAGCTAAATCAGGAGCAGAACCATAGAAATGAAGATCTCATGGAGGGTTAGCAACAGGGGAGTGGGAGGAGGAGAAAGGGGGAGAAGGTACAGAAAATAAGTAACATAGACGGTAGGTAGAAAATAGATGGGGAGGCAAGAATAGCATGGGAAATATAGAATCTAAAGAACTTGAGACACGTGGTCATAAACTAAAGGGGGAGAATGGTGGGGGAGGGGTGTACAGGGTAGAGGGGAATGAAGGGGGGAATAGAACGACTGTAATGGCATAATTAATAAAATGTATTTTTTTAAAAAAGATTTGAAAGTATGGAAAATAAGCGACCATAACGAAAACAAAACAGTCATCATGGAACTTTATTAAACGGGTTACTTCTCAGTAGTTTTACAGGCCAGTTTCTCACCCTTCAAGATTCCTAAGTAAGGTAGAATGTTGTAATTCCATCAAGAGGAGTTCTGCTTTTAAGTCTAAAATTATAATGACAATGAAAAAGGAACAGTCATTCTTACAGTAATTCAAAAAGCATCTTAGAAGAGCTTAGTAACTTTAAGGCACTTGGCACCATGTGTGGATTGTCTCATTTCTCTTCATCTTCTTAGACTTCTAAACATGGAAGCACTGCTGGGCTCTCACCTGCTGAGCGAGGCAACTGAGACTTAGGGGAGCTACATGGACTGTCCAACTCACAGTGGCAGGCATCAGGGAGCTCAGATTCATCTCCAAGACAAAAAAGTCAAGCACTACCACGCAGCCCAATTCTCCTTTTATCATGAAGTGAAGACAAATGGTTCATTGACAAGGACAGACTCCTTTGTGTGAAGCAGAAACAAATTTATTTCTTCATAAGCATTATTAAGATCCACACTGTAGAATAGATTTCTTTGAGCCTTGGTTGAAATCTGAAGTGGGTTCTAGAGTATTTTTTGTCCCTTTTGGTGCTGAAATCTGGTGGTCACTTCAAGCACTGTGACAGCCAGGGCAGTCCAGCATTCATAGAAGGCATTTGGGAGCAGAGTTTTTGTCTGTAAGATGGAAATAAGGGCTTTGAAGGTGAGTCAGAAATGACATGTGACGTAACAGCGAGGCTTAGTGTATGCACACCTTTTCTCAGGGCGCACCATCCTGTGTGGGTTCAGAACAAGCTGCTGCAGGCTGTGCCACGATGGTGTGCAGGTTGTTCTGAGCTCAAGACACTTTTACCAGCAGGCTCAAGAGAAGCTTCTGCCTCTCCCTTCAACTACCCAGAAGAACTTGAATTAGAGGCTTTGGCCATAAGAAAATATGATCAGTGATAACCTCTTTTTGACCCACCTATATAGCAGGGCAAACTTCTATTTACTAAACATCTGCTCTTCTTCTCACCCTGCAAGGACCCTTTGAAGACCCCAAGGTGCATGACCTCAGCCCTAGCACAGGGTATCTCAAATACCTGGATCCCTTCTTATCTCTGAACCTGTCCTGGGTGTGGGTGTAGGGTCTGTGCTGTGGAATGAACTCGGGAGGGGCAAGAGCAGTGCGGAAGAAGGTAACTCTCCAATTGGGAGGACTCCTTGGTGTGTGTCACTCAGTGTGTAGAGCAGCAAAATGAAAATGCCGAATACTTCAACATTTGCAATTTTGAAGATAAATGAAAAATCCTTTCAATGTTAAATGTAGAAGTACACCACAATTATCCATGATTCAAATCAATGCAAAGCTGTGAGTCCCAGATAACAATGTCCGAAGTCACAACCACATATTCCAGATACAAATTTCCAACGATGACAAAGATGATGAGGAACCATGTGCATATCTTTATTGGGAATCACTATCATTTATCAAAGAGCAGGGCATTCTGTATTGCCACCTTCTACTTACTTTCACACCCTAGCAGTTCCTGAAACAGCATTTAACATTTTTTAGATTACAGAAATACAAGTGGTTAATGATGACATCCTTACTCACGAGGCTGTACCCTCATGTAAGGATATATACACCCCTGACTCCCTATTATGTCACATGTCATTTCTCACTTTCCTCCAAAGCTCTTATTACCATATCACGAAACAAAGCTTTATGGTTTCCTATTCACCTCTCTATTATCACAAAAGTATAAGCGCCAGGATTGGAAGAACTTGTTTGTTTCATGCCTCACATTCAAATCCCAGTCTTATTTGCACTAAATCAGGTGTGTTGACCCCAGAGCGCGTAACATAACAAGGGACATTGAAATATTAGCATCGAGTATAGTCTTCTACCGAGGAAGTCCTGACTGGGACTCTTTCTCCCTCGCTAGAATTGTGTAACCTCAAGATTTACCTAAACATGTAGGCTTCTTTCTAATGAGTGACTGGGGCTTCTTACAGAATTAGATTAGCTCCACTACATTGGTTTTGTCTTCTAGAAAACAATAAGGTTACCACTGCATACGTCCAATACACAGAAACGTCCTGACAACTTCCACAGTCATCACTTCATCTAGCACGAGTCAAACTCCCATAACAGCTCCGAGCAGCCTTTCATGTTATGCCCCTCGGTCAGGTGCACTTTGCGGTCACAGTCGTTATTGATTCGCTACTCTATTGGCTACAGGTACAATTTGCAGGTCACTGGAAAGAAGGCACTGAAAAACCAAGATTGAAAATTTTGGTTACAAGAATCAATGAGACTTTCATAACAAAAATTATAACTATAAAAGAATAAAGAGTAAAATATGCCTGGGGGAAAATTACCTGAATCTGAGTGCCCATGACAAAACTGACTCAAGGTACAATCCTTAAATGAGGAGAACCGCAGTTTATACAGATATCCACAAGGAGACATTTTCGTATATCCTCTCGAGAAATGAAAAACAATTCTTTAATGGCGTACAACAGCTTAGAAAATGGCTGATAAAATCTTTCTATGAAACAACTACAGAAGCATTATTTGGACCAAAAAAGTGCACATACTTTTAGTCACATACAGTCAAACATAACTGAAAACATACCAAGGGACTGCATGCAGCTACAAGTAACAGGAAACACGCACAGCCTCCCGACAGGAGGGAGATGCTGGATCTCACTCGGAAGCACCGGGGCGAGGCAGCCACTGCACACGCAGCAGAAGCGGCAACACTATCAACGCCACGGTGAGTCAGGAAAGCGCACTCGACAGCACTGTTCACAGCGTAAGGTGTTTCCTATACAGATTAGATCTTATGTGGATATAATCGCGAGAAGAGGGAATCAGACAGGAGCATGAAGCCTGGTGGACACAAGAGGGCTTCCAGAAAAATTCAAACTCCGAGGGATCTTTCATGTGGATCCTGAGAAAACATCAGTGGAAACCTGCACCTCCATGAAGGTGTCAATTAAATATTTGATGGTGGTTATGCCACCACCATGATTTTAGTTTATATATGAATATAATCAAAAATAGAAAATAAATACTCTGAGAATGGCAAAATATTTTTTACAATTTAATGAAGATCTACAAGTATGAAATAAAAAATGTTGGTGAGAATGAGGAAAAAAGAAAAATCCTTCGGCACTGTTGGTGGGAACGCAAATTGGTGCAGCTACTATGGAAAAAAGTATGGACGTTATTCAAAAAATTAAGAATAGAGCTACCAGCCCTGGTTGGTATGGCTCAGTGGGTTGAGCACCAGCCTGTAAACTGAAAGGTCCCTGGTTCGATTCCAAGTCAGGGCACATGCCTGGGTTGTGATCCAGTTCCCCAGTAGGGAGTGCACAAGAGGCAACCACACACTGATGTTTCTCTCCCTCTTTTCCCTTCCTTCCCCTCACTCTAAAAATAAATGAAAATCTTTTTTAAAAAGACTAGAGCTATCATATGATTCAGCAATTTCACTTTGGGGTATTTATTCAAAGAAAATGAGAACTCAAAATGATATATGTGCCCCTGTGTTCACTATAGCATTATTTACAACAGCCAAGATATGGAAACAAGCTAAGTGTGCATTGATGTATGAATAGATAAGAAGATGTGGTCACTGGCCAGTAGTAGCTCAGCTGGTTAGAGCACAAAGTTGCAAATTCAATCCCTGGGCATGACACATACAAGAATCAAGCAATTAATGCATAAATAAGTGGAAGAAAAGTCAATATTTTCTTCCCTTTCTCTCTTTCACTCTCTCCCTTCCTCTTTCTCTGAGCAACCAATTTTTAAAACGGGGTATTTTTATGTACAAAGGAAAAGTATTCAGCCATAAGATGGACTGAAATCTTGCCATTTGTGACACCATGCATGGACCTGAGGACCTTACACTAAGTGAAAGAGAAAAAAATATCTCATAATCTCCCTTATAGGTGGAAATTTTTAAAATAAAAACAAACTAAAACAAAGTTCATGGATACCTAGAACAGACCGGTGGTTGCCACAGTCTGGTGGTGAGAGGGCGGAAGAAATAAGTAAAGAGGATCAAAAGTTTAAAAAAAAAATCAAGGGAGTTGTACAAAAATTGCATCATTATAGATAATCACAGAGTGACACCAAAAAACTATTCCATACTTTTATATATTTAAACTTGCAAATCATGCATCATTTCTATTGGATGGGCATTACATGCAAAGGGATATCAGTTATAGAACTGCAAGAATTTTGAGGCTATGTGGGGAAAAACTCTCTTCTTGTCACATTTTCCCTGACATTAATTTCTAGTAATAATAACCATTAAACATTTTTATTGCCAAAATTTGATTTGCATTTTTGGAAATTCAAAGGATTGCAGTGCCTCGCAGTCTTACTTTCAACACCAAAGTCTCACCGAGGACGAGTTCCCACTGGCCTTCTCCAAAGCCCTGTCAGGCTGTCACTCAGGCGCGAAAGACAGGGCCTTTCGAACTGTCCAATCAGGGGTATCCCGAGGGCAGGTGGGTGGGGCGACGGCCATCCACTAGTCCGGACGTCCTGCCTGCTCCGGCCATCCTGGAGAGCTGGGTCGGCCGCCTTCAAAGGCCCTAGGTTTCTTTGCTTCAGGCTCTATCGCACTGGGACCTGACCGTTACCAGGAATCGTAGGGAGGACTCCAGGGGACCCAGGAAACCCAAAAATGGTGAGTGTGTAGGGCCAGGGTGCGGAGACTGGGGCGAGGTGCTGGTTATAACCAGCTTTAGCAGGACCCATTCTTGCCAAGGTCATGTCCAGGGTTCGCGAAGCCGTCCCTCAAACCTCTGTCCCCTTCTGCACACAGCATGGGGGGCTGGGCCAGCAGCCAGACTGTGGGTGTCTTGTCCCGTTACTGCGCGGCGATTTCAGCCCCGGCACGTTCTGGGCAGCTCTGCCCCGGCAGCCCTACGTCGCCCACGAGGAGGGTCATCAGAGAACAATCGTGACATTTATTTGTGTCCGTGCGTGGGAGGAACTGATCTGCGGGGTTCCCAGTACCTCCTTTCCCCCCAGGGGGCGCCCGTTTTCTCCTGCGTTTTCCAAATGTTTGGGAAGCAGGGTCTCAAATCCCTACTCCCACCCCAGTATCTCCCTAAGAGGGGCAGTAACTCTAAATTTCCAAATCCCTTCCCGAACTTACAAACGTCAGCTTCCCTTCTCCAATTCAAGCATCAAAATCAACTATTCGTCTTCCTAAGTGCATTTCAAGCAGACCCATATTTTAACTGTTTATCACTTTTCCATAGTCAATGGATGGCCCTTTTAATCGGGTTTATCTTTTGTTTGTGGATATTTTACATGAGTGAAAAGTAGCAAATAACCACTTGGAACTACGTCCTATAAAATACTTGTGCCCGACCTCCCAGGATCGTTCCTGGGCACAGACAGCCTACGGGAAGGAAGTCCTTTGAAAGTTTGCCTCTTGGCAAACTTTTCTGAGTGATCTGTCCTGTCAGCGCTGACCCTCTTAGGATTTGTCACCTTTAAAAGATATCTTTATTTATGGATTGTTCATACACTGGGTTTGTACCCTTTAAAATATTGGCGGTTGCCCAAAGCTACTCCATTGGGTAGCAGAGGCCTGTTCTGGTTGTGGTTCCCTGGGCCTGTTTCTAGACATAGGATGGAGTTCTGCATCCACAGTGTGGGTGCATTCAGTGTAATTCATACACACTGAGAAAGTCTGTGAAAGTCAGGAGTCTGTGACCTTGGTTAGGGTCTGTGAATTTGGAGTTCATTTGCGTCAGAACCTGACACTGAATCCGGCCAAGTGTTTCCTCACTGTGAGATGAAGCCCAAGAGAGGGAGCATTTCCATTATTCCCTGAGTTCCCAGAGTTCACTCCTGGGGCTGCTCAGGTGTCCTTCCCCTTTGTCCCCAGGGACTGTCCCATTCAGGGGCTCTGTGTCAACCTGGAAAGTCTGAAATGTGGAACGGGGCTCTCCTGTCCTGTGGGAAGCAGGCGGCTCATCCGAGATGCTTTCAATACTGCATTTCTTTCCTTTGGATCCTTTATCCACTGAATAGTGCAGCCCTTTGGCTCCAGTTTCCCTGAGCACTTGGGCTCTGAAGCTGTAATATGATAGAGAGGTACAAGGTGAGGAAAGCAAGAAAATTGTGGAAATAGAGGGTTTTTTCCCATTTAGGCAAGAGAACTTCAAGATTTGAGGTGAACGTACTTAAATTCTCATGCATGTTTTTCTATCTCACATCAGTTTTTTTAAATCTTTTATTTATTTATTTTTAGAGAGAGGAGAAGGGAGGGTGAAAGATAGGGAGAGAAACATCAATGTGTGGTTGTCTCTCACACATGCCCAGCTAGGGACCTGGCCCACAACCCAGGCATGTGCCCTGACTGGGAATCGAACTGGTGACCCTTTGGTTCAAAAGTCTCGCCGAGGGAGGACTGAGCCACTCCAGCCAGGTCTCACATCAGTTTTTATATATGTGTGTCCCTAGAGAACTTTAAAAAAAACAAAAGCAATTGAATTTCTATTTTAATTGAGGTGAGGAAAACTACCGAAAGCTCATGCAAATCTTTAAAATCCTACCACATTTAAGAGCTAAACTCAAATCCTAATGCATTTATAATATGCTACCTAGTCCTAGAAATACCCCTGGTGTGAAATATAGGGGAAGGACAAACTATAATACCACATATTTTTTTAGTTAGCAAGAGATTTGAAATTTTTTTTATTTATCTTTAGAGGGGAAGGGAAGGAGAGAGGGAGAAATATCAATGTATGGTTGCCTCTGTGGGTCCCCTGCAGGGAACTGGCCTGCAACCCAGGCATGTGCCCTGGCTGGGTATCGAAGCACGATCCTCTGGTTTGCAGGCCCTCGCTCAATCCACTGTGCTACACCAGCCAGGGCTTGAGATTTGAACATTTTTATTTTGCACTTTGTAACTGTTAGTGCATGAAGATATTAAGTGATTTCCAAAGGTTTTCGGACAGTCTGTGGCTTGTATTTTCATTCTCTTAATACAGTGTTTACTGAGCAGGAGTTTTTCATTTTATTGTAGTCAAGCTAATCATTTTTTTCTATCTTGGATCTTGCTTTTGTTGTCGTATCTTAAAATTAATCACCAAACCACAGTCATCTAGATTTTCTCCTATGTTATCTTCTAGAAGTTTTGTCGTTTGACATTTTTTACTAAATCTATGACCCATTTTGAGTTCATTTTTGTGAAGATGTAAAATCTGTTTATAGGGTTTTTTTGTTTGGGGGGGCTTTTTGCTTATGGGTGTCCAATTTTTCTTGCACTGTTTGTGGTAAAGACTATGTTTTCCCATTGAATTGCCTTTAGTTCTTTGTCAAAGATCAGTTCATTGTATTTGTGGAGATCTACAGAAAGTGATCATTGCCTTTTGTCTATTAATCTTTTATCTTCAACCTTTTTATTCTCTTAAACTAGTTCAAGAGATTTTATTTAGGATTTTTTGAGAATTTCTCCTTAGACAGTCTTTTTTTTTATCCTCACCCAAAGAGATGTTCATTGACTTCAGAGAAAGAGGAAAGGAAAGAGAGAAACATCACCTGGCTGCCTCTCATATGCGCCCTGACTAAGGATCAAACCCGAAACCCAGGCATGTGCCTTGACCAGGAATGGAGCCCACAGCCTTTTGGTGTATTGGACAACGCTCCAACCGAGCCATCTGACCAGGGCCTTAAACAGTTTTGTCATATGCCACAAAGATAGTTTTATTTCTTGCTTCCCAATCTGTATGCCTTTTATTTCCTTTTCTTGTTTAATTGCCTTAGCTAAGAATTCTAGTACAAGGTTGTGTAGGAGTGGTGAGAGGGGACATTTTGCTTTCTTCTTTATGTTACTGGAAAGCATCTAGTTATTTTAATGTACTCTCTATATATACATATAAATATATATATATAATATGTTATATACTTATATACTCATATATTTAGGTTATATGCATATACTGTATGTGTGTGTGTGTGTGTGTGTGTGTGTGTGTGTGTGTAATTTTTATAGACAAGGGTTAGAGCTTCAAAGGCCTGGACTGATACACTGACCAGATAGTTCTCTGTCTTGAGATACTGAGTAGTTACTGAAAGGCTTTGACCAGGGAAATAACATGATCATAATATGATTTTAGAGAAATCATCCCTTTAAGGAAAGATAGATGCTGTTGTAGGGAGTGAGAAAATAAGAGGAGGACCAGTTTGTAGCCTCTGCAATCTGGAGAGAGTAATAAGGGCCTTAATAACTGAGCCTTCTTGGCTTTTTGAAATCCCAGTCATCCACCCACTTCACCTTTGGCAACCATCAGCTTGTTCTTTATAGATCTCTTTTTATTTTGTTTTGTTTTTTGGTGTTATTTTTTTTAGATTCCACATATAAATGAAATCATATGGTAATTGTCTTTTTCAGTCTGATATGTTTCACTTAGCATAATACCCTCTGGGTCCATCCATGCTCTCACAAATGGCAGGATTTGATTTTATTTTTATTCCTGAATAATATTCCAGTGTGTGTGTGTAGCAATTACATGTCTTTATTCATTCATCAATTGATAGGCATCGAGGTTACTGCCATACCTTGGTTACTACTAGTAATGCTACAATGAACATAGGAGTGTGTATATCTTTCAAAATAGTGTTTTAGATTGTTTTCAGTTAATACCCAGCAGTGGAATTGCTGGGTCAAGAGGTAGTTCTATTTTTATTTTTATTTTTTTTCCAATGAAGAAACTTATTTTTGATCTGTATGGGGAAATTGAAATAATTGAAATTTTAATCATTTTCCTTTATTTTTCAAAGAACCTCCTATTGTCTTCCACGATGGCTACACCAATTTATAATCCCACCAACACTGCTCAAGGGTTACCTTTTCTCCACATTCTCACCAACACTTGTTGCTTGTTAATTTATTGATTATAGCCATTCTGAAAAGTGTGAGGTGATATTTCATTGCAGTTTTAATTTGCATTTCTCTGATAGTTAGTGATACTGAGCATCTTTTCATGTCCATTGGCCATCTGTGTGTCCTTCTTAGAGAAATGTCTGTTCGAGATTTTAACTGGATTTTTTTAAGGATTTCAGTGATAAGTTTCATGAGTTTTTTCAATATATTTTACATATTAACCCCTTATTGGATGCATCACCTGTGAATACCTTCTCCCCTTCAGCAAATTGTCTTTTTGTTTTGTTGATGGCTCCTTTCACTATGCAAAAGCATTTTCATTTGATGTAGTCTCACTTACTTATTTATTTTTTTTGCTGCCCATGCCCAAGGAGACATGTCCAAAAATATATTACTAAGAGCTATGTCAAAGAGTTAACTGCCTATGTTTTCTTCCAGAAATTTTATGGTTTCAGGTCTTACATTTATGTCTTTAATACATTTTGAGTTTGTTTTTGTATAGGTGAGAGAAAGTGGTTTAATTTCATTGGTTTGCATATATCTGTCAAGTTTTGCCAACAACACTTATTGAAGAGACTGTCTTTATCTTATTGTTATACCCTTGCCTCCTTTGCCTCCTTTGTCATAGATTAATTGACTATATGAGTAAGGACTTATTTGAGGGCTTTCTATTCCATTTCCTTGCCCTATATATCTGTTTTTATGCCAGCAAGTACATACTGTTTTGATTATTGTAGCTTTGTAGTATAGTTTGATATCAGGGCCCATGATACCTCCTGTTGTTTCAAGATTTTGTTGGCTATTTGGGGTCTTTTGTGGTTCCATATAAATATTAAGAGTAGTTCCAATTCTAAGAAGAGTGTCACTGACATTTTAATAGGGATGCATTGAATTTGTATATTGCTTTAGGTAGTAAGGACATTTTAACAATATTAATCCTTACAATCCATGAGCAAAGCATATCCTTCTATTTATATGTATCTTCTTCAATATTTTTCTTTAGTGTCTTACAGTTTTCAGTGTACAAGTTTTTTATCTATTTGGTTAGATTTATTCCTAGGTATTTTATGCTTTTGATGCAATTATCAGTGGAATTTCTTTCTTAATTTCTCATTCTGATAATTTGTTATTGGCATTTAGAAATTCACTGATTTCTGTATATTGATTTTGTATTTTGCAACTTTGCTGAATTCATTTATTAGTTCTAATAGTTTTTTGCTGTTGTTGAAGTCTTTTTGGTTTTCTATATATAGGATCATGTCATTGGCAAATAGTGAGAGTTTCACTTCTTCCTTTCTATTTGAGTTCCTTTTATTTCTTTTTCTTCTCTGATTTCTGTGGCTAAGATTTCCAATACTGTGTTTAATAGAAGTGGTGATATTGGCCATCCTTCTTTTGTTCCTAATCTTAATGCAAAAGCTTTCAGCTTTTCACCATTGAGTGTGTTATGAGTTGTGGGTTTGTCATAATAGCCTTTATTATATTGAGCCATATTTCTTTTATAACCACTTTGTTGAGAGTTTTTATCTTGAAAGGATTTTGAATTCTGTCAAATGCTTTTTCTGTATTCATTGTGACGACCATATGGTTTCTTTATTTTGTTAATGTGATGTATTACATTGATTGACTGTTGGATGTTGAACTATCCTTACTTCCCTGAGATAAATTCTGCTTAAGCCATGGTATGTAATCCTTTTAAGGTATTATTGAATATGGGCTAGTAATATTTTGTTGTGAATTTTTACATCTATGTTCATCAAGAATATTGGCATGTCATTTTATTTTTTTGTAATCTCTTTGTGTGGTTTTGGTATCAGGGTGATGCTGGCTTTGTAAAATGAGTTTGGGAACATTTCTTCATCTTCATATTTTTTGAAATATAATAAGAAGAATATGTACTAATTCTTATTTGAATGTTTTGTAGAATTCACCTATGAAGCCATCTGGTTGGTTCTAGACTTTTACTTGTTGGGATTTTTTTTTATTACTGCTTCAATTTCATTGCTAGTAATTGGTCTGTTTAGAGTTTGTATTTCTTCTTGTTCAGGCTATTGTTCATAGTATTCATTGTCTTTCTGGAGTGTTAGTTGTGACATATCTTTCATTTATATTTTCTTTATTTGGCTCTCTCACTTTTTTTCTTGATGAGTTTGGCTAAAGTTTTGAATTTTGTTTATCTTTTCAAAGAACCAGCCCTTAGTTTTATTAATATTTTCCATTGTTTTACAAACATCTAGTTCATTTATTTCTGCCCTGATCTTAATTATTTCCTTCCTTCTGTTTACTTTGAGTTGTATTTGTTCTTGTTTTTCTACTTCCTTTCAATGTAGAGCTTTCTGCTTTCTTTAGGTAGGTCTGTGTAGTTATAAACTTCCCTGTTAGAACTGCTTTTGCTGCATTTCATGAAGTTTGAAAAGTTGTGTTTTTGTTTTTATTATTTCAGATAGTTTTTTGATATCCTACATTTTCTTTATGATCTATTGCTTGTTTAGCAGAATTTTGTTTAGTCTCCACATATTTGTGGGCTTTTTTCCAATCATATGTGAATTTCTTTTTTTTTAATGAATGGGAAGCTACGGAATGTTTTTTTTTTAAGATTTTATTTATTTATCTTTAGAGGGGAAGGGAAGGAGAGAGGGAAAGAAACATCAATGTATGGTTGCCTTTCATGCGTCCCCTGCTGGGAACTGGCCTGCAGGGAACCAGCCTGCAACCCAGGCATGTGCCCTGACTGGGAATCGAACCGCGATTGCCTGGTTTGCAGGCCCGCACTCAATGCACTGAGCTACACCAGCCAGGGCCCTATATGTGAATTTCTTATGAATTGAGTAAAGATTCCTAGTGCTGTTCATCTCACCTATTCTCCTATATACATATTTGGGGTGTTTTAGGACTTGGTGGCCTTTGAGGATGTAAGTGTGAAGTTTACACTGGAGGAGTGGGCTTTACTGGATTCTTCACAGAAGAAACTCTACAGGGACGTGATGAGGGAAACCTTCAGGAACTTGGCCTCAATAGGTAGGGATGACAACATTCTTACTTACTTGCTCAGTCAATAGAAAACCAGTGTTGCTTCCTCCTCAATGGAGTTCCAAGGAGTAGAATGTGGAAAGGGAACGCACTGGTAAATAAACCAGACGTGGTCACCACTCATCATGGACTTACCATGTAACGGTTTTTCTATGAGGTTTTATAGTTTATCGTTTTTCCTGGTCTGCATTTTAGGAGAAATATGCAAAGACCATGACATTGAAGATCACTACGAACATCATGGAACGAATTTAAGGTGAGTCACGGTCTGTGAGAGAACAGTGTCCCATGAATCTGAATCTGTCATGAAGTTTTTAAAACAGCACATAAACCAAATTGGCCAAGTTTTAAATTTATTTATTCTTGCCATATTTTCATCAAAGTTTTTTCTCACATGTGAATTACATGTTTACTGTTTCAAAATTAGTACATTTAGAAATAATATTTTGAAAGCCCATTTATGAATATCCTGTTTTGATAATAGCAATGACTGAGCCCTCTTGCAAAGCATTTAGCACTTTCAAACAATCAGAAGGCACTGAAAATGTACACGTTCCTTGGTTATGGTAAAAATGTCATTCTAATAACTATTAATGTAAAATTATTAATAAACAAGAGATTATATTAATAAACAAGATATTAACAATATCCTCTTCACTTTTTACAGCAGTCATATAGTAGAGAGACTGGGTAAAAGTAAACAAGGTAGTCAATATGGAGAAAACTTCAGCCAGATTTCAAATCATAACCAGGAAAAGAAAACTTCTACTGGAATAAAAGTATGTGAATGCAGTTTGTGTGGAATCTTCATGAATCATTCATTCTTTAATAGGCATATGAGATCTCACACTACACCCAACTCATTTGAGTATCTGGAATATGAGGAAAAGCCATATAAATGTAAGGAATGTGGGAAAGCCTTCAAGTATCGCCAATCCTTTCGAAGGCATGAAAGGATTCACACTGGAGTGAAACCCTATCTTTGTAAGCACTGTGATAAAGCCTTCAGTTGTCTCAGTTACTGTCGAGCTCATGAACTGTCTCACACAGGAGAGAAACCGTATAAATGTGAGCAGTGTGGCAAAGCTTTCAGTTGTCCCAGTTACTTTAGAAAACATGAAAGAACTCACACTGGAGAGAAACCTTATGAATGTAAGCAATGCAGTAAAGCCTTCAGCTGCTTTACATCCTTTCAAAGTCATGAAAGGAGACACAGTGGAGAAAAGCCCTATGAATGCAAAAAATGTGGCAAAGCCTTCAGTTGTCCAAGTTACTTTCGAAAACATAAAAGAATTCATACTGGAGAGAAACCCTATAAATGTCAGCAGTGTGGTAAAGGCTTCAGTTGTTCTAAATCCTTTCGAAGTCATGAAAGGAGACACAGTGGAGAAAAGCCCTATAAATGTAAAAAATGTGGCAAAGCCTTCAGTTGTCCAAGTTACTTTCGAAAACATGAACGAAGTCATACTGAAGAGAAGCTCTATGAATGTAAGGAATGTGGCAAAGCCTTCAGTTGTCCAAGTTACTTTCGAAAACATGAAAGAAATCATACTGGAGAGAAGCCCTATGAATGTAAGGAGTGTGGGAAAGCCTTGAGTTCTCTCACTAACTTTCGAAGACACATGATGAAGCACACTGGAGATGGGCCTTACAAGTGTAAGGAGTGTGGGAAAGTCTTCGATTGCCCAAATTACTTTCGGTATCATGAAAGCACACACAGTGGAGAAAAGCCATATGAATGTATGGAATGTGGTAAACTCTTCAGTACTCCCAGGTCCCTTCAAAATCATGAAAAATCTCATACTAGAAAAAAAACTCATGAATGTAAGGAATGTGGTAAAGCCTTCAGTTTTCCTTGTTCCCTTCAAAAGCATGAAAGAAGTCACACTGGGGAGAAACCCTACAAATGTAAGCAATGTGGGAAAGCGTTCACTTACCTCAGTTCCATTCAAAAACATGAAAGAACTCATAGTGGAGAGAAGCCCTATGAATGTAAGGAATGTGGGAAGGCCTTCATTTCTCTTTCCAATGTTCAAAGACATATGATAAAGCACACTGGAGATGGGCCTTGTAAGTGTAAGGAATGTGGGAAAGCCTTTGATTGTCCTAGTTCACTAAGAACACATGAAAGAACTCACACTGGAGAGAAGCCCTATCGATGTAACAATTGTAATAAAGCCTTCAGTCGTCCCAGTTCTTTACGAAATCATGGAAGAACTCATACCTAAGAAAAAGTCTATGAATACTCCAAGGAGTATGAGAGAGCCTTTTGTGAAAATGTAAGAATCACACTGGAGAGATACCCTATGTGTGTAGAGAATGTGGAAAACCCTTTAGTTTTCTCATTTCCTTGGGAAGCTACACACACAACCTCACAGTGGAGAAAATTCTACTAAATGTAAACAATATAGGAAAACCTTCACATCTCAAATCTCTACCATGTCAGAGTAGATACTGGGTAGAAATTATGTAACTGAAAAATAAGACAAAACTTTTATCAAATATTTTCAAAGTAATGTGAAAACTGCATTGGAAATATATAAATCACATTAATGTAATTAATATGGATAGCCTGTTGAAAATTAATTCACGTAGGATACTCTAGAAATTTCGTGACATGAAAAAAAATGTTATAAACATTATACATACATGGTATTTCTTACTGACCTATTAATGAAGTGATTTTCTGTATTATGGAGTTCTACTTCATTTTGTAAGTAAATACTGAATTATAGATTTGTGGGTGAACTGAAGTGTATTCTCACATGCAAGTAGGTTTAATTTTCATGTAATTTTGTAATTGATCTGTAAGGAAAGGACCATTGGAAAATGACATTTTGGTATTTGTTTTGGGTTTTTTTTTCTGCTGGCCTCCTATGGAAAGTCTGGATATGTTTTACCCTTTCGTCTCATATATATACCCCCCCCAAAATATATATATATGTCCCACCTTTCTTTCTTAACAGAAAACTGCATTCTCATTTGCCTATAGAGCCTTATTTTGTTTTCCTTGTCGATAAATGAATTTGTAAGTGTGCACACTTCATCGTAGAGTATAGTGTTGTGAATTATTCTCATCCATTGCCCCTCGTTCTTTATCATTCCTTCTGGTTGGGATTTGGGCAGTGAGGTTTGCATGAAGAAGAGAGATCTGTGCTGAGACAAAAACATCTGGAGTTGGAGATGACCCTTCTTGACTGGTATAGCAACATGAGTAATGCTGTGAACTACAGTTTCTAGACTCTCTTGCTTTTCCGTTCCATGTTAGAATTCACCAGAGTCTATCTCACATGAACTTGGAACACAAAGTGAAATAGGATTAGGCAGCCACCTATACAGATCAGACAGACAGATGCATAGGGCCTTTGCTGACACTTGCTTCCACACCGTCTTCTTCATTCTTTGCCCTGCCAATCAAAAATATCCTCCTCGACCATAAAAAAGAATGAAATCATACCATTTGCTGTCAAAAATGGGTGGACCTAGAGGGTATTATGCTAAAGAAAATAAGTCAGTCAGAGAAAGACTAATACCATATGATTTTACTTATTGCGTAATCTAAAAAAGAAACAAAATTAAAACCTTCTAGATATAGAGAATAGATTGATGGTGCCAGAGAGGAGGGGAATTGGGGGACTGGGTGAACATGGTGAAGGGACTGAAAAATATAAATTGGTAGTTACAGAATAGTCAGGGGGATGTAAAGCACAGCATAGGAAATATGGTCAATAATATTGTAATAACTGTACAGTGTCAGGTGTGCCCTGGACATATCAGGGGAACACATTGTAAAGTAAATGGTTATCTAATCACTATGCTGTACACCTGAGACTAATACAAAATAATACGGAACATAAACTATAGTTGGGGTAAAAGAGATATCTTCAAAACCACAAGTGGCTGGTTGACTTATATTTGATTTCAGTTTTTGGCTTCTACAGTTGAAGATTGGGTTCAAACCAGTACAGTGTGGGTTCTCCTGCAAGACTTCATGTGTCTACCAGGCAAAAAAAAAAAAATGTAGACTCATCATAGAGAATGCTTTCTGAAGGACTAACTCTACTCATCCCTACATTGTATCTGTATAAGGTCTAATTTGTATAGTAAACCCCTTGTTCTATTAATACCGCTGGTGAGCGGGCGTTCCTGATTCCGCAGTGGTGCGGTCCGAAAGAGCCGTGCTGGAGTTTGCTCTGGGGCTGGAGTTTGATCTCGGGCTGCGCGTGCTGACTGTCCTGACCCGTCCTTCCTGTGAGACTTGGCGCCTTTCTGAGGTCAGGCACATTCTGAGTGTTTCCTGTTACAGCAGAATGTTCGCTCTCCATATGCTTCTAATTATCTTTGAGCATATGTGATTGAAAGTATGGGCATTGTTTTCTCTAATGAGTGTTCTGTGGTTTTTTTTCTTAGAAATATTATATTAACTGTTTTCCAAGTACATGTGAGCTGAGAAATATTATTGGTTTTTATTTCCTGAGAGGATGTATTAAATGTCTCCTTGTAATTATATATTTTCTAATCAACTTATCATTTTCTCCATTTAATTATATACATTCTGAATCAAAGTTATCGTGTGTACAAATTTAGATATTTTATTTTTTATTTTTTTTAGAGGGGAAAGGAAGGAGAGAAAGGGAGAGAAACATCGATTGGTTGCCTCTAGCACACACCTTGACCAGGGACCAAACCCACAACCCAGGCATGTGCCTTGACTGGGAATCAAACCAGCAACATTTCACTTTTCAGGATGACACCCACCCAACAGAGCCACACTGGTAAGGGATAGATATTTTATTTTAAAATATTTATTTTTATTCTATAATACTTAGAATTTTTGTTATGAGACTAGTTTTTTGTTTACTCATAATACCAGAAACTTAAATCATATGTTTTTCAGTCCCCTCCTGCCAAAGATACAGGATCACCTCTGTAGTCAAAAATTGGGGTGCAATGAATTCTAGTAACAAGAATGTTCACAAACCACAAACGGCTACTGGGTGTAACAGTAGCAGCAAAGGGACTTCTTATTGGATTTGTGTTAAATGATTAGATTGCTAGTAAAGAAGTAGTATATTTTTTATGTGTTGGATGTATTGTGAGGAACTAAACTTTATTCTACCCTGGATGATCATAAGTTCTTATCTAGAAGGCAGAAACACTAGCTTGATGCTAAGCCTATATGTGAGAAGCACCAATCTACAATATTAGAAGAGAGGATTTTTAGTTATTTTTATTCTTTGGGATCTGTTCTCATTCACCATTTACAGAGAAATGGTTACAAAATGCCTTTGTTTTTGCCTTGATCCATCATGGCTATGGAGCAGCTTTGTCTGGTCAGGGATGTGTGTGACATTTTTCTTTCAGCGGGATATAGCTAACCCTTTCGGGGAGCAGCAGGCCAGCTCCAGTTCTCTGGAACAGCTTTCGCCTTTCTTGTTATCAAAATTCTGAAATATTTCTTGCAGTGTATTCAATGCTTTCCCATAAGTATGTTAATGAAAACAAGAAGTTCTAATTGCTTACTTCTTTGTAAGGTACGTAAGGCTTTTGTCATGTACCTTGCAAAGTCAGCATGCCTCTTCCAATGAAGCATTTTTTGCTCAGAGACGATGCTCATCATGCTTATTTTTCAACATCCTTCATATGCCAGACTGTGTAGATTAAAAACATACAGCACAATTATTCCAGGCTCTCTGAGGTATGGATAAATAGGCATAAAAGAAAGAAGTTCTTGCACGCATTCCTGGTGCTTATGTTTTTTGTAGGAAAAGAGACGGTGAAATGAGTACGCTTTGTTTTCTAAGAAAATAAAGGTGTTACAGAAAAGGAAATGATGATATGTGACAAAATAGGGAAGTGGGGGTGTATCTTTATGGAATATATGGACCTCAGTGAGTGTCATCATCAAAGTAATTCAGAAAATCAGTGGCCACAGTGGGGAACTTCTAAGATTCCTAAACTTAATTTTCTTAAAACTGAGTGGATAATAATAATGCTAAAATTGATTAAACTGAGTGGAATGCTTATTTAGAATAGTATTTTAAGGTTTCCAAATGACACCAAGAATCCCAAGTTGCCTGTTTGTGAAATAAAGTCTTGGGATTAGCTGAGGCTACTGAAAATATAAAAAGAGAGAGAAAATATCCTCTGCGGCATTGTCTTGTCCTTCCCCATTTATTCCACTGTCTCAGGATCTCCTCCTGGTCTCCCCTCTACTTCTCTGGAGACTTTGCCTTGGGCCTCCCCAGCTCGTACCAGTGCTTCTTGCCCGACTCCTTCGTTTCGAGCCCCACCTCCCACAGCGTCTTGCCTTCCACTACCACAGTGGTCGTACCTCTGGCACCATTTTCTCCTGAATCCTCTCCCATTCATTCTTCCTCTAAAGTTACCAGTACTTCCCTTTCCAAAATAAACCCTTTTTGGATTCTAATAGACCTCAATTTCATAAGTACCCTCAACTGAAGTTGAGTTGCAAGTCATTGTTAAGGAATTCCCTGAGATAAGTAAAGAGCACCCCAAGTTTTCTGAGGAATTTGATATTGTTACTCAGACCTGTCAGCTTGGGCTTTCTGATTTAATCAGCTAACTCGTATGGTGGTTGGGGGAAGCCAGGCTTAACACTGGATGAGAATTGCCAGACGGAAACACCCTGAGTGGGACTTAGAAAAAAGCAAATCTCCAATTGTTGGGAAGAAGCTAGAAAACTTGCTCAAAAATTACACCAAGCAGTTCCTAAGGCTTTCCCAAAGCCTGTTGATTGAAGCAATATTCAGACTTGCTCATGAAAGTCCGGTGAATCCACTCATGACTATTACAATCAACTTTAGGTCCTATTTAAGGAAAATTCTGGTCTTCTTGCAGGTGCTGATTCCATTCAGGTAAATTTTTACTGCCAGTGGGCTGAACAGAAAGATCTTACCCTCCAGGTTAAGAAGACCAGGGTGGAATGGGAAACCACCTCCACTCTAGACTGAGTGAATTTGGCCAGCCTGCCCTTCCAGATGAGCCACCTGGAAGTAAGATTGCCAAGACTTTTCATTTTTGGCCTTGGCAGAGGAGAGGCCCTAAACCCAAAGACCTCAAACTTTGGCCATTGTAGCGAAGAGCCAGGACAGTGGGACATGGATTGCCCTGGGTCTCAGTGCTTCAGAGGCTGCCGTCAGTCTTCTAACCGGCCTCCCCAAGGTTCTCCTCGCCCCCGGTGCTAGGGCCTTTCCCAATCTTCCTCTTAATCAGCTTGGAGAACTCTTCTTCAATTTGGTACAAAAACTCTTTCTGCTTCTATTGACACCGGTGCTACCCTCTCAGTGCTCAACCCCACTGTCGTAAAACAGCCCCTGCCTCGGAGTAATAAAACAGTTCAGATAGTGGGAATTTCGTATAAACAGGTTCATATTTCTGAACCTATTCATTTTTGTTTATACCCTTTAAGAGATACATACTGCTCTTTCCT